GTAGTTTTTAAAGTCAAGTTGATGTAAATTCTGTCCTCAGTGTTGTCCTGTAAGGTGAATTCAGTCTCACTGTACAGTCATGTGCAGCCAGAAAGTGAACCATGTGTGCTGACTGAGGATGCACATGGATCTTATTTGAAAAACCCAATGGACGAAGCGTCAACAACTCTTCAGAGTTAGTGAAAAAGCAGTCACACCGCAGAATAATGGTGAGTACATGCAGGGGAGGCTTTAACACATCCATCATTAAGAACTGAGGAGTTTAAATGTCTTGGTGTTTTGTACATAACTGAGCACAGGATGGTGCAATAAAAGTTCAAATCCATGGGTTAGGGCTTGGTCAATGCCTTTTGTTTTTTGTGACATAAAAAAGGAGAATAACATAAAAAAGAAATTCACAACTTTTTCCACCTGTGACCTATGACCTCTACATTGTAATTTAAGAACAAGCTGAAGTATTTTAGGGGAGAAATAAAACATAAAAAAGACTAGAATGATGTGGCTGCATATGTGTGCATACACTCAGCCTTTGTTGAAACCCCTTTTGATTTCACTTCAGTCTTTTTATAATGTCAGCATGACACATCTTGACATTTGCTTACAAAAGTGTTAACAAAAGTGAACCAAATGTGCGAGGTTGTGAGGACAACGCTCTGCACTTCACCAAACAGACTTCTGATTGAGGTTTGGGTCCTAGCTAGATATTTTAAAAAACTTCAATCTTCTTTTGTTGAAGCCACTCTTGTTGATCTCTAGACTGATGCTTTCTGTCACTGTAGAGCTTAAAGATGAATTTCCTTCTCATCCTGTGCTTTCTAGTAGGGATTTGTGCTAATAACAGCAGTTCTGTAAAACTTTCCCTCCATAATGACTAAGGATCCTGTTCCGGCTGAAGAAAAACAACCATTAACAGGATTGCTGTGCAGTACAGTCATGAATGCATTTCTACCCTCTGGGTTGAATCAGTCATGATACTGGTACCACAGTACTTCCCCTTTATTTCAGACACTAAGGACTTATTATGTTTGGCGAATGCAGTCTTACCAAATGCATAAAAAACTGAGTCCAAACATAGATTAGCATTATTGTTGAGTTAGCAAAGCCACAAACGAGTAAGTCCTGTGAATGTGTAAGTGTGTTAGATCAGAGGGGTTTTTTCACAGCTAACAGAGCTGTGTGTGTGTGCGTGCGTGCGTGCGTGCGTGCGTGTGTGCGTGTGCTGGAAGTGGGGGGAGATTTTCAGGTGACTTCCTCACTCCAAGGTAATTGTTTACTAAAGTAATGTGTAATAGAACTGAGACGATAAAGAATTTGAGCATTACTTATTACATGAAGGCTTATTCATTTACATCCATGGGAAAAAGAAAGTACTCCTTCCACCGGCACACATTCTCTCATTTACTAAAATTTATTTACTAAAATGTAATTTACCAAAATGAAGCCAAAATGGAAAAGATGCTGCTTCTATTGGATTTATAAAGGTGGGGAGCAGCCAGGTGACGCTGGTCAGATGCATCTGATTAACAAGGCATCAGCAAGTGACAAAGACAAGCAATTATTACTCCCAATCAATGTTGGAAAGGTAATAAAACTATGTCTGAATTGCTTAAAGTTAATCAATTCTACAATGAGAAAAAAAAACAATACAAGTGGATGACCAGTGTCCAAGCAGTGGCCATCTCAACAAGTTTGACCCAAGGACAGACCGGGAAATTATCTGAGAAATTAAGAGAAACCAAGAGCTTTATGTCAGACTCCACAGGACTCTGATAACAAGTGAAGTATTAAGGTTCCTGACAGGACAATTGGAGAAAGCCTGAACGAGTATGACTCAAAAGGTTGATCTCTTTTGAGATCAACCTCAAAAGAGAGGTTCTGAAACTACACCCTTCAGATAGGGAAGACCACAGCAGAACAAAAACACCTCATGATGATGATGATGATGATGATGATGATTTTGAAAACCTGTTCTGCAGCCATGGCACCTGGCCACCTTCCAGCCATTGAGACAACCATGAACTCTTCTGTGTACTAAACTATTCTACAGTGAAATGTACGGTCATCTCTTCAGCAGCTAAAGCTTAGCCCAAAACGAATCGTTCAGCAGATCCCTCACAGCCCCATCTCTAAAACAGAAAGCCTGAAAAGGAAAAACAGAGGTGCAGAGGTGTTGCAACGGGTCAGTCAAAGTTCAGACTTCAACCTGATTAGTATGATGTGGTTGGACCTGAGATGGCTGGTAGAAACAAACCCTGATTAATTGATTCACTGTTGAGAAGAAGATTGGGCTGCAATTCTCGGACAATGACATCAGACTGGGAGCATGTAAGAGTAAAATGACAAACGGTGAACCCTCGCCTATTTGTGGTTCAAGTATTTGGAAATTCACCTTTTGATGGATGTTTTTTCATATCTATTTTTTTATGCAGGTTGGGAGGCTGAAATACTTTGCTGCAACTTACTGTTGCTTGCAAAGCAGCCAAACCAGGAGCACCATTTATTTTTGTTGGCGCTGATTCGTCGTACTCCCAAGAGCAGAGATAAGGAAGACCATAGCTACCAGCTTCTAACATGGCTTCCACCAGGCATATTAATGTATAGCAATGCATATTGATAGATATATTAGCTATTTGAACAATAGGCAGCTATAAGCATTTTTCTGAGGTATCTCAAGTATTCATATATTCTAAGTATTTGTGAGAGATTGTGGTCCCTAACCCCAGCAAATATTTTGAATTGGCTTTGTCTATCAAATAATGACATGACAAAATTTTGTGTTTATTTCTTAACATGGCTTATTAATACATAAAACTTTGGAAGGGTTTCTTGGAACAAGGTATTTTTTTTTATCGTTTAGCAACAACAAAGAACTGATCTACTATTCCATCAAATACTGCACTGCATGTGTGAATATTAATCCCTATCATCAAATAACATCACAACAGATTGGACCAACATGCAAGAAATACAAGAACGACTCAGTGGAGTCTTATAGAATATCCTTGGATCTCTACAACAATCAAGACAATACAATGCTGACAGAATAACTTAAGAGTTAGTTGGTTTGACTGAGAATAAGGGAAAAGTTTCTATAATCTTAAGCTTCTCCAAAAATAAATAAATAACCAGGTGCATTATCTCTTGAAATCACGAAGCAAAAGCATGATACTAAACTGTCAAGTCACGCCGCCTTACCAGTCAGTCAGTTACATATCTGGCTGCCACTTCTGAAGCCTCGACCCAAACAAGACAAGCCAAACTGGAAGAGCAATAACAGAAACACTGAGTTTCTGTTATCGGCTAAACAAACACCATCTCCCATTTCAGCTTGAGTATGCACTCTTGGTGAGTATTAAATAGGTTCCCTAAAAAGTAACTTGATGCATTTGTGCCTCTAACAAATGCATCAAGTAAAGTTTTCTTTAAGTCATGAAGGTTTAGTTCTGTAGTTGTCAAACTGCGTTACTTTTGTTAAATTTAGTGATACTCTAAGTGATATTTGCTATTTACATAGCAAATACAAAGTAGATTAGCAACAACGCGAATAGCAAAACGAGTCATATACTGAAGGTACATGTATACTAGTAGATGACGTTCTTGTGAATATGTAAAGTATCACCATGTTTTAAAGGCACAGCAGCGATGCTGAATTTTGAGGTGAAGGTTGGTGAGAAACTTTCATCAGTTCCAGCTGGGTTTCACTCTTCCAACACAAACATTTTTCTTTGGGAACCAAAAGTTTAGATACTGTTTTCAGATTGCACTCATTACATGTTTTTTGCTGTTAAGCTCTTCTTTAGAAGCATGAGAATATTTTATAAGTTGAATAAACAAAATACGCTTGTTTTGCTGTTTATCAGCCTGTGCGCTGTGTGCAGTATGTGTTTACTTCTCTGGACATGCTTTTGTGGTTTATTCTAGATTTTCCTGCTATCCTCCATCCCCCGGTGCTTAAGATGCTGCTGCATATCCAAACACACACACATACACGCAGACACGCATACACACACATGCACACGTCCATTAAAGCACAAGAGAAACACTTTAGGAAACTGCACTCTCTCCCTCTTTCTTTACACCCCTCTAAAACACACACATTACACACGCACACACTCTCACAAAACGGCCTAAGGTTAACCCCCACCCTCACTGGAAGCTGCAGAGGTCAAAGGACAAAGCGCAAGCAACGGCAGGAATTCTCCGCCGTTGCTGTTCGGTAACCCTAACAGCCTCAGCCATCCAAACGCCGTTCCCTCCGTTTACCATTAAAAGAACATAAATAAGTAAAAACACTCCAACACAAACATTCAAAACATTTCCCAAATTGGACAGATTATATTATTCATTAATCTGCTGTGCAAACTTCTAATTGATTAAAAAAAATAAAACATTTCAAGCCATTTTAGCAATGCACACGGTGTTCTATTGCTGTGTAAATTGTGTGATTGTGCGTGTGTATTTGCCTTGGCAGGACTACTACTTCCATCTGCTCTGGCACCATTAAATGGAAGCAGAAGCTGGTTCTGTGTGTCTGCCACAAAGACGGGGGGGAAAGAACTACGATATTTTGCGAGTAGAAAACTTCCAGTTGTAGACGGCAACTTTTGGTCCTACTGCCAGGTTTCATCACATAAGGGAGGACTTTTGCACTTGCACCCTCGCAGCTTTGGCTCAGTCTCTGCAGAGCCAGCCTGAGAAGAAGCAGGTCCTAACTCGCCGATAGGAACACCAGCTGACATTTGTTGGTCTAAAATGAACATCCCTGAAAAGATGTGCTGGATGCCTGGAACAGTGTGTAATGGATCTAACCATTCCAAGTGGACAAGATGTTCTCTCCAGTCATTTTATGTCCCCAGAAACAGAACCATGGGCGTGGTATGAAAACGTTTCAAGGCCTCCAGCTCAAAGTTGAGAACGTACTAATCGGTTAACTCGGCAAATATTAAATGACATCATTTGTTTTTTTGAGTTTTTTTTTTTTTTTTTTTAACTCCGACGTTAACACAATATCCTTACAGGCAGCTAGAAAGATCAGATCAGAGATCGTACCTCGCTCACGTCGCCTTCGCTCCGTCTCTTCTTCAGCTGCTCACATTTGCGCTCCTTGCAGATCTGCTTGCCCGTCTTGCGGTTCAGACAGTTGGCGCAGGTACCGCAGTTCTCCTTCCGAAAACAGGGAGCGCAGGCGCCGCATTTCTTCCTCCTCTTTTTCTGGAGGTCGGTAGTAACGGCCCCCAACGGAGACAGGGAGAAGAGTCCTGCTTGCTGGTGTTCGGCCTCGATGTATTTGCTCAAAGGGGACGTCTTTTTGAAACATTTTCTTTGCAAAAAGAGAGACCGAGCTTCCTCTGCATCCACGGAGAGCTGAAACGTGTCCTCAGTTGGCGGGCCTGGTCCTGCCCTCGGCCTGGGCATGGTGACTTGACTGTCGTAGTGTTTACTAGTGCTAAAAACAACAGAGACTAAAACACATGGATTAAAAAAAACAGTTCAGTGTATTTAAAAAAAAGCTGAATTTAAAATCCAAACTGTGTAAAATCCTAAATGGGAGCTTTAGGATTTGACTGCAAGAACTTCAAAATGTCGACCCTAACAAAGAAAAAAAAATGGTCAGATGGAAGAGTGCTGAGTCTAGATAATCAAAAAAGTCACAGTCCTCCTAAATGTGTGGGATGTTACCAGAAGAATCGGCTCAGTGTTCACGTCGTCTTCCAGAACGACATGAAAGCGATGCGATGTTCCCAGTCGTCCGGGTGGCCCCAGACGATCCGAGCACGAACTCTGAGTCTGGATACCATCTCTTTGCTTTGAAGAAAGTTCTGGCAAGCAACCAAGTTGTTGGGCCCACTGCTGGAGCTTCAAGGCATTGTCTACCCAGCCTGGGTACTGTCTGGAAGTGTGCAGAGACCAAAAAAAGAAACACAACAGTGAGGGATTTACTACTTAAATTAACCACAAAGTGGTAGCTTGTTCCATTTTTTCCATCACAAGATGTTAGGATAAAAAAAAAACTCTACTGATCACAGTCTTTTCGTCTGCACTTTTATTTGTCTTAGGAGTTCTAGTTTTAACCGCACACAAACAAACACTCGTGACTCCTGTCTGGACATCGTCTGGTTTTAAAAACCAGCTGTCGGGGCTTTGAATCGAGTTGGCCCTTAGCCATGCAGCGCTACGTGAACGGTTTGAGAAGATGTGTTTTCCTAGCAGAGCGCACATGGACAGGGTGGTTATGTGTCCCTGAATGATGGAGGGGGACGACAGGCTAATGCCAGGAGAGGACTCCTTTGTTTGGGGGTCGCGCACTCCAGTCAAGCGTCAGTAAAGAGAATTGTGCAAAGGAAACCTAGTGTTTTATTTCTAAAGCCTGGGTTCAGTGCTCACAGCGGAGCCAGATCTCCTTGTTTGTTAAAGTTTTGAAATAATTTAAATATTGCACTGTGGAACACCATGGGTAACTTATCATACCAAGTCTTGTTTAATTGTTTAAAAAAATGTTATTTTCATAGACATTATCTGCGGTTTCATTGCAATCACTGCCAGAGCTGCTGTGTGACTATCTGAAGGCTTTGGACAGCAACGTTGCGGTCCGCAGTTCATTCTTCCCTCAACTGACTTGTCTCCAACGTGTGCTGTAGAGTAATCTGCTAAATGCATGTCTCTCACTAGTTTCTCTGTGGAACTACCCCAGCGTTCTTGTTAACAGGTAGAAGAAGGAACTTAAAAATTCCTCTTTTTCAAACAGTTCCACTCTGCTAAGTGTTTCATGTGTACATTTTACTTTAACTGATTGTGATACGTTGCAAGTTTTACACCTGATTTAACTTAAGGGGTTCAATCACCAGTGTGTAGTGATAAAAAATATAATCTTAACTGAAAATGAGCAAAGTCTCATTGGATTTTGATTTAACCAACTAACTTGGTCCCTATGTATGTTTTCACTGGTGCGCATCACATGACTTTATTCACCACTTTTGATATTCAAACTGTGAAAACCAGTGATTTGAAGTAGCTACCATTATTCTGACCACATTAGCTAAAAGGAATATATTGACTGTAAAAAGTATTCAATGTTTTGGATTTGTGGATTGTTCAGTGGAATGAAATTCCAAATTATTCACAGAAAATTAGCCTATGTGTGGATTTTTCACAGAACTTATTAAAATATTCTAAAGGAAAGCTGAAATAGCTAGGTGCTATGCTACTTTGCATGCCAATGATTGGCATTAGCATTAGCATCCAGGAGCGCCATTCATTTTCCTTGGTGGTGAAGGACGACTGAGGATGTTCTCTTCTGTGTTCCAGTGTTTGTATTAATGTGTATTCACCCCTTAACGTGCAACGAAACGCTTGCATGCCATTTTCCTATTGTATTTTCCTTACGTAGCTTATGCAGGTGTAGGTTAGGTATCAAATTGTGTAGGATATGTTGGACCCAGAGGGATATGTTGGAGCTGTGCTCCATTAAGGCTGGTTGGTTGTTCAGGCAAATAACTTTGGGTCATTATGTAACCCCAAAAACACTCGTTTTAAGCTGTAGCCATCATTCACTTTTTGTAAATGTTAGTTGTGCCCTTATGGGTACGAACTAACCTGAAAATGGGACACACGAAAGCCGTATTTGTAAATACTGAGTGAGAAGTAAAAACTCAAAATAAAGTAATTTGTGTGAGTGTCAATTTTCAAAGTTTAAGTTAGCTAGCTTAAAATTAAATGATAAATACCTGTGATAAACTCATGTCAGCTGTTTTAGCACTAGGACTTAAAGCTTGAGTGTCAAGATAAAGTCATAATTTTTTACCTGCGTCTTCCTGTCCATTAAGGTACGGCGTCGTCGACCTTTATTACAACGACGCCACATTTTAAGTTATCTACTATAACATTAATTTCCCTTGCAACATTGTCATAGAGACTTTTACAATGGCTACTAGGCTAATTTTACGCAAAGCTGTTACCTGGGCCAATATGTTGCAACTATGCTACCAGATAAACGCTGACTCAACGGGTCGGGGCATTTAACAACAACCAGTAAATCACTGAGCACGTGGTCTCATCTGCGAGAGTGTGGAAAAGTCAGTAATGAGCGCGCGACGCGACGCCACCTCCGTCACGTCAGTAATGAGCTCCCCTCCGCTACTGTTATGATTACAGTAGGTCCACGTGCTTCCCAACAGAGATCCCTGCAGGGGGTCCAGGGCAACCAGTACAGATCAAAGCAGTTAAGATAAAGAGTAACACCCCGCCCTCAGATTTTACATTAGGATACCGCGTGTTATCTGCGCGAGGATACACAAACCCCATTTAGAGCTGTGAGTGGGGGCACGCGGCTCATTACTTCAGGTGACAGAAATCGCACTTTCACCGCAAATACACAATGGGATTTACATCAACTTGCGTCACATTGCAGCAGAGGTCCGGTTACTGTAAAAAAAAAAAAAAAGGCTGAAGCTTTCACAATTACAAATCAGACTCCATTATTATATGAGGGTTTATATCAATATTATTATAACCGATTCCATACTGCTTACAAATGTTAATTGGTACCATTCATGCTAACGTGACGAATAAATAGGGTGACCCCAAAATGTACATTTACAATACAATTACCAAACTTACCTCAAAATGTTTATATATTCCTCCTCAAGTTAAGAGTTTCAGGAATGCCTCCTCTCACTGAATAGCTGCTTTAACAACTAACAACAAAAAATCTTACTCACGAGAGGGGGTAAAAACAAGAAGGATAAAGTTCCACCCTATATGACATAACTCTGCCTTTAGGCTCCTGACTGGTCGACGTTGCGGTCAAGAGAGTGAGAGAAAAAGTAGGATCTTTTGGAAAGGGTTAAAGTCTCGAGGAAATTATGGAGTGGAGTCCAGCCGGAGCAAATTGGGGGAGTGATGACGTCACAAGACGAGTTGATCAGGGTCCGAATGGCCCCAAGAGAGATAGGGAGTGGTGAAGTCACCAGCGGATGATCTAAAATAGATTTTCAAGAGTTCTTGATGACAAAGTGAGCTGCGGTTTCCTCTGGGGGAAAATGATGGGGTATGAACAAAGTGAACAGTGATGTCATGAGTAGGTTTCAAACCAGACGTCGCTGCACCGTGACGAGACGAATGTGGATCTTTCAGATTTGAAGCCTCAGCAGACGTGTAATGACTGGCTGTGGTCAGGGGAGGGGGTGTAAGGGTTTAGATAGCGCAGCTTCTGAGTCAGCAAGAACTCAGGTTCGACAATGGGTGGGTGTACATCTAAAGACTGTTGTCACTGCCAACTAATTATACTGGAGATGGTGTTGGACAAATCAGTCCAATTCATACTTTTCTTTTTTGATTTGATTTGAATTTCTAGGGACGTCTACTTTAAGGGGCCCTATTATGTGTTTTCCAGACACATAGTGTCATTTCATAGCACGATCAGCGATCTATGTCACTTTCAGTTGTAATAAAAATACTATAAATGTCAAATGTGGCTTAAAAGAAATAATTTAACGCCTTGAAAATGAAATTAGGCCTCTGTCCCTTTAAGAAGCTCCTGCTCGTTCTGAGACTTTGCCTTCAGGAAGTCATCACAACATTTTTTTATTGCAGAACAATTAGATTTTCAATATTAAATTTTCTCGATCTCTAAATGTCTTTAAATGCCAAGTCATTGCTCATCTCTGGAGTATTTCCCGGATGGCTATGCCACTTCCAGATGTAAGAAAAATGCATCTGAAGGTGGCATAGCCTTCATATGTGGTGTTAGGTTAAGATCTATGTTGCATGCTCAAATTTATAACTCAAAAAGTTTACTAAATACAGACACCTTGTTTTATTTGCTTTATTCTATCACCATATGCTTTTTTGTTGTTGACATTTTATGTGCTGCAGGTCAACGGCTCAATCCAAGCAATTGTCCAATGTCAATAAATGTTCAGTACATTCATGAGGGAGGTTGTGAGATTATATCTTATGTTGAAATTCACAACCTGTTCTGCATCTTCTTCCTCTTTTTGCTAAAACATGTCGCCATAGTTACTATGCTTGTACCAGCCCAGATAGAAACAACAGGGAAACTCCTCACTAAGCAATATGATGACATAATTCATAAAATAAACAGACAAAAGATCTGCTAGTGTAATCGTTCCACTTTAAGACTTTATTTCTTTTATTCCACCATCACAACACTCCATTGGAGGTTGTATTTTCAACAGACAAACAAAAAAAAAAACACTGTAAACACAAAATGCAAACCATCAACATTTCCTTGGAGGTACTCATCGTATTACAGAAACGTATTATTTTTGATCGGCTAGCCACCGATCAGCATGCCAGCACGAAGTAGAGCAGAGTGAGGATGCAGAGGCAGGAAACAATCACCTCCCTCCATATGCAAATATGTCTAAAAGCTCAGTTGCTGTGGCAACATTAAGAATTGCATCTTAGCATACACACGTTACGCAGTTTTCCTGGCAGTGAGGAATACGACAATAGGAAAACATTCAGTTCTTGAACGTGTAAATTCTCATTCTTCAACATTGTGTGGTGAAATAAAACTGAAGGAAACAGTCTGAACTGTGAGATGGAGATTTTCCATGATAAACAATCAAACAGCTTTGGTCGCTCCAGTGTTCATGACAAAAAAAAAAACTAAACTAAATCTGAGAAAAAGAACAAAATAAGGTTCAATAAAGCAACAGAGGGATAAAAAATGACATGTATTTAGTTGTGAGGACACTTTGAAGACATGATGACTGAAGGAGTGTTTTCAAAGCAGCAGTGTGCGGATGGGTTCCCTCCTCACTGCTACAAGGAGCCTCCCCCACCAACCCCCCGGTTTGAGTGGGTAAACCTCAGTGGGAACCCCATGAATCCACCGGCTCCCCCTTTCACCCCTTCCTCCCCCTCCAGGACGACCTCCTGGGGGTTTGGACCAGCAGTCTTTATGTTCGCACCTGGAACTTTCCGGCCTTGGTCATGTATTTGATGCCTTTGAAGGGTTTATACTTCTCCCCGTACATGTCCAGCCTGTTCACCTTCAGCCCTGTGCGGGGACACAAACTGGGGTTAAAATCATACCATATGAAATAACTAGAGACGCACTGATCCAACATTAATATCTGGATGGGTCCCAATATTGACAAAAAAAGATAGATCAGGTATTGGTGATAATGTATTCGATCCGTAACGGCAGATCTGATCTATTCAGTCTAATTCTATGCTTTGTGTTTTACATTATATTACATCATATTTAGAATTCCCAATTGGACTTTCTGAACCATTTGAAAGCAGGTTTGTTGCTGTTTATTTGTTACATGTTTGACCTGGATAGTCAACTTTATTTTTGTCAGTTTCAGTTTATTTATTTTATATTGGTTCTTTTACTTCTAATTGCACTGGTTGAACAAATTAAAGTTGTGTTGTGTTTGCATGTTTCACCAAGATTGTGAAGTTTTTGTTGTACTCAAGTGTGCTGTACTGGTGCAGAGTTATTTAGGAAATTTGTGTCTGTGTTTAAAAAAAGATGCTTTTTATTTTAAGTGAATTCAGCACTGTTTTTATGTATCAGATTGGTATTGGCCAATATTAAACCTCAGATATTGATATCAGAAGTCAAAAAAGTGGATGGATGAATCCCTAAATGCAGGGCCTAATGCATCTTTTTAGAGTTGAAGGAACTATGAGCTCAAAAATATTAAATTCTAAAAGAAAATAATTTCTAAATTGGCAAGTTTAACTTTGCTGCTGAAAAAAATTTACTTTGTTCACATATTTACCAAGGAGGGTGTCATATGTTACCAATTCTAATGCAGTTGGAACATCTGTATTATAGTGTCAAGTGGGTGTGTGTAGAGCATTTGGCACCCCCTAGTGGACATGGCGTAACATTACTGAAAGAAATAAAAACCAAATCAGGCGGTTGTCAGCTGAGAACTGCTTGAATGTGATTGGAGTGTGTGTGTGTGTGTGTGTGTGTGTGTACCTGAGATAGCCATCTGTTGGATCTTGAACTGGATGTTAATGGTGGGGTTCTCGTCGGGTTTAGAGGCTCCAGCTTGCAGGTTCATGGTGCCTTTAAGGCTGGGAAGCTTCTGTGGGTTGATCTTCCCAACATCCCACGTCAACAACTTCCATGGCAAGAAAAGCGGGGGAAAAAAATTTAAATTTGAAAAGAAAAAAAAAGTTTTGAGCAAATATACTGTAATATCCCTTTATTTACAATATTCAATTGTGGCCACCATGAAGTGATAATCCATATAAAAAAAAACACAAAACACATGCACATTGGGACGGTTGGGTCTGTCGGTACCTTTGTGACGGGGTCGAAGGTGTACGTTCCTTGGGAGGGGTTGAGGTTGGCGTTGAGGACGCCCCGCGGCAGCTGGCTGCTGACCAGGACCGACTCCACGGCTTTCCCCATGGTCTGCTTGGGGCCCAGGGTCAGGTCGAAGCGGCCCTGGGAGCTGCCCTCCCGAAAGGTGATGTTGTGTTTGACGTAAACGGGGATGGCCACCAGGCTGAGGAGGAAGGGGAAGGACAGGAGGTAAACACACGGGATATCATTCTGAAGCCAGAGATGAAAACTACTGAGCAAAACCGAAACGTGTTTTATTGGTGTTTGATGACACAGACCAAAATAAAGTAGAATGAGTGAATGATGCACAATGTTTAGTTTCAGAAAACATTTCTCAGCTTAACTATATCAACTATGAATCTAAATGCAGAGCAATCATAAAACAAACCTTAAAAGCTGTGAAAGACTTCAGACTACACCCAGTCAAAATCCAAATCTACATTCAATTAAAAAAAAAGTCTAGTAAGGGAAAAAAAACTGTGGCAAGAATTGAGATTTGATGTTCAGTTCAAAACAAAAGGGGGAAAAGCTGCTATTATGGTAAAAAAGACAAAAAAAATTTTTTAAATTATTGACTAAGGTGGTGCTGGATGAAAGCTCATCCAGCACCACCTTTTAGATTTGTCTCATCAAAAATATTATCAAATACATTATTTACTTTTTCCTTCTGCTTGGTCTGCCTCATAAAATCCTAATCAAATGCACTGAATTTGTGATTTTAACACAAACAAATGTAAAAAAAACAAACAAAAAAAAACTAAAAGGCGTTTCTAGAATATGCCGAAAAAAAGAAAAAGAAAAAATATTGCGACTAAAACAAACACGGACTTCTGGGAGCTGACATGGTAGGAGAGCAGCCGGAAGTTTCCGTCAGGCGGGATGAAGGAGAGGATCCGCTCGGCTTCCCAGCGCTTGAACCGAACGCACGGGTGGAAGCTGACGTCGTCCAGCAGCCGGGGATTCTGGGAAAGGACGACAGGAAACGGGAGTCTTTTACTTTCCGTTTCTACTAACAGATTTCATTTCTTCATTTTTTTTTCTTTTCTTTTTAAAGGACTAAACACACCATGAAAGAGAGCGTCAGGTCGGGCATGCCGGTCAGCTTCACGCAGGCATCGATAACTCCCTGGATCTCCGCTGTGATGGTGGAACCTGTCGGAAGACGCATCCTGACTGATCCTGACTGGAGCTTTGTTTGTTTTTTAATTCTCCGCGGTTTTACCTGACTTATCGATGATGGCGTCGATCTCCTCCACCACATCGAAATAGGCCTCGTTGTTGGTGTACTTGACCCCGGTGCGTCGCCACGGCACCACGGACAGCTGGCCGGTGGGGAGCTGCTCACCGACGTTGGTGCTGCCTGGAAAAACATGAACAAAAACAATGAAAATCAAATAATGAAGTAACAGTCAGTTAGTGGCTGGAAATACATTAAAAGGGAGCTGAAAACCAAAGACAGGCCTTCAGAATTACTCATAAATACACAACTTGTAAGTAATACAGGAAAAATGTGTCTTATTGTGTGTGAAATAATCTAATCTGAACCAGAACTTTGTCACG